CATGCTCATGGGTTGCTAGAATCAACATAGTAAAAATGTCTATACTCCCAAAAGTAATCTACATGTTTAATGCAATTCCCATCAAAATTCCAATGACATTCATTAAAAAGACTGAAAAATCTACCGTTAAATTTATATGGAAACACAAGAGGCCACGAATAGCCAAGGCAATACTCAGTCAAAAGTACAATGCTGGAGGAATCACATACCCAACTTCAAACTATATCACAAAGCAATAATGATAAAAACACATGGTACTGGCACAAAAACAGACATGAAGACCAGTGGAACAGAATAGAGGACCCAGATATGAAGTCACACAACTATAACCAACTTGTCTTTGACAAAGGTGCTAAAAATACACGATGGAGAAAAGACAGCCTTTTCAACAAAAACTGCTGGGAAAACTGGTTAGCAGTCTGCAAAAAACTGAAACTAGATCCATGTATATCACCCTATACCAAGATTAACTCAAAATGGATCAAGGATCTTAATATCAGACCCCAAACTATAAAGTTGATACAGGAAAGAATAGGAAATACTCTGGAATAACAGGTATAAGTAACTTTCTCAATGAAACCCCAGCAGCACAGCAACTAAGAGATAGCATAGATAAATGGGACTTCATAAAACTAAAAAGCTTCTGTTCATCAAAAGAAATGGTCTCTAAACTGAAGAGAACACCCACAGAGTGGGAGAAAATATTTGCCAGCTATACATCAGACAAAGGACTGATAACCAGAGTACATAGGGAACTTAAAAAACTAAATTCTCCCAAAATCAATGAACCAATAAAGAAATGGGCAAGTGAACTAAACAGAAATTTTTCAAAAAAAGAAATTGAAATGGCCAAAAAACACATGAAAAATGCTCACCATCTCTAGCAAAAAGGAAATGCAAATTAAAACCACACTAAGATTCCACCTCACCCCTGTTAGAATAGCCATCATTAGCAACACCACTAACAACATGTGTTGGCGAGGATGCGGGGAAAAAGGAACCCTCTTACACTGCTGGTGGGAATGTAAACTAGTACAACCACTCTGGAAAAAAATTTGGAGGCTACTTAAAAAGCTAAACATTGATCTACCATATGATCCAGCAATACCACTCTTGGGGATATACCCAAAAGACTGTGACACAGGTTACTCCAGAGGCACCTGCACACCCATGTTTATTGCGGCACTATTCACAATAGCCAAGTTATGGAAACAGCCAAGATGCCCCACTACTGACGAATGGATCAAGAAAATGTGGTATTATACACAATGGAATTTTATGCAGCCATGAAGAAGAATGAAATGTTATCATTTGTTGGTAAATGGATGGAACTGGAGAACATCATTCTGAGTAAGGTTAGCCTGGCCCAAAAGACCAAAAATTGTATGTTTGCCCTCATATGTGGACATTAGATCAAGGGCAAACTCAACAAGGGGATTGGACTTTGATCACATGATAAAGTGAGAGCACACAAGGGAGGTTGAGGATAGGTAAGACACCCAAAAACTAGATAGCATTTGTTGCCTCAATGCAGAGAAACTAAAGCAGATACTTTAAAGCAACTGAGGCCAATAGGAGAAGGGGACCAGGAACTAGAGAAAAGGTTAGATCAAGACGAATTAACCTAGAAGGTAACACACATGCACAGGAAATCAATGCGAGTCAACTCCCTGTATAGCTATTCTTATCTCAACCAGCAAAAACCCTTGTTCCTTCCTATTATTGCTTATACTCTCTCTTCAACAAAATTAGAGATAAGGGCAAAATAGTTTCTGCCAGGTAGCAAGGGGGTGGGGAGTAGAGGGAGGAGGCAGGAGGGTAAGGGAGAGGGTGGGGGAAGGGGGGAGATATGACTCACACATTGTATGCATATATGAATAAAAAAATAAAGTAGCATACAAACTTCATTATATACTGTGGCTTTTCACGTCCTGATGCCCCTTGCTGGTGAGGGCAGGTAGGAAACCATCTTTTAACAAGAGCTTCCTGGCATCAAAGTCACTGAATCTTTTGGGTAGGTGCCAAGGTATATATGCTTCATGTCAAATTTTATTCTATAATGAGCTGGGTCCACTGTGCTAGGGACCTGCCCATGAGCAGACCACACTGAGGAGAGGGCTCTGAGCCACTTTTGTAATAGTTAGGGCAGAGGACGCATACAGATTTGTGGGTCTGTCAGTAGTTACTCACCATAGGCAAACCTGACTGAGAAAGGCTTTTGGTCTTCATGTGGCTTTTCTTTTTGATGACTGCCAACAGGGACATCCATCCTAATCAGGTTTTATTACCAACACAGTTTGTAATGATAACAATAATTACCAAAAAATTAAAAACTGTGATCTCATTAAAGACTATTAAGCAGATGGAAATGGGAAAGAGAAATCTAGTTCAGAAGCTACACAGGAGGAAAAATGAATATGAGAAACAGTCCTGAATGTTCCTATGATGGCATAACACCTTGTGTCTCTCTGGAAGAGGGTGCCATAAAATCAAGCAGGTGTTCTACACTATTGGGTGAAATAACTTAAAACATTTACTAGGAAGCACCTTTCCTTTCAGTAAGACATTTTAATTAACCTGGAATTAATATTCTGGCTTTTTTTCTATCTTTTTGTGTAACCGAACTAAAATAAAACAGACAACTGGTAGGTTTGAGCACCAAACCATCCTTTGCCAGTTGATATACTGGTTTACTGACACTATTTGCTTCTAAGTGGAAACAAGCCAGGTAGCTGCTGTGCAGTATAGGACCAGCACTGACCCTGAGCAAGGGCAACACACTTGATTAGCTGACTCAGTAACACCTGTTTCCCTGCTATGTGCGCAATGCTCCCACCCCTCTTTGATTCATACTATGTTGTGAAACCCAAAGGCAGGAATATGTCAAGAGCTGACAATTTCCTCAGGGACAGGCCTGAGTGACACCAAGCCCCCAGCCTCACTCTTCAGCATGTCCCTGTTCAGCTGCTATGAGCCACAACTGCCCAAATCTAAGCTGTGACTCTTTAGTCAGCACATCTGGACCCTGCAGTTTCTGAAATTCTCCTAGCAGTTGTGCTTTGAGATGGCTAGATATCTCATTTTCCTTATCTTGCAACTTTGCTTCTCAGTTACATGTGTGCTCTGAAGGCAGTATGACCTGCTGGCCTAGACAGAAAATGCTGGAAATGTCTGCTGCATGTGCCTACCAGTCAGCCACCTGCTACCTGAGGTTCTTTGTCAAGAAAGAACTCCAAAAGAAACCCCATCAACAAAAAAAAATCACAGACACAAAAATCCTATCTCATTTCTTTTGGAAGACTGGAAGGATGAGCTAATGATTAAGATGGTCAGAGTACATTGTACACATGTATGCAAATGCCATAATGAAACCCACTGAGTACAATTAACGTACGCTAGTAAATTTAAAAAGATATGCAGAAAAGTCTGTTACTTGCGGCAGACTGGAGGTCAGTCCCTTTCTCTAAAGATCTGAATTCACCCAAGTACTTTTCCCACAGGAAGTGAGAAGGAAGTGTGCTCTTTTTGAATATAAGCTAAAACCCATTAGTGGGACATGGGCAAAGCAAAACAAAAATGGGAGGACACTAAGAATGGGAGACTGAGGGCATTGGGGCCACTCGAGGCAAACATGGTCCTGGGCACCACTTCTCTGGATTTTCCAGAGAAGACACAAAGCCCCAAGGTGGCTGTATTCTTTATTTCTGGGGAACGGGGATGAAAGATGTATGATGGGGCTCACACCAAATTCTTCCCAACTGCCAGGGGGCCTTTTCTTCAAAACATAGAACAGGGCTTGGTACATACTGAAGCAGTACAGTGTCTGCCTAGCAAGCACGAGGCTCTGAGTTCGATCCCCTGCATCTCAAAAAGAAAACCCATGAAGTAACAGTTAAGGGAGACAACCAGTTGGGCATTCCCATTCATTGCTTTAAAAGATATTATATGCCAAATTCTTTACCTGAAATCTTTAGAGATGTGTTTCAGACTATGGAATTCTTTAGAGTTTAAAAAAAGAAGATATATGTAATATATTCATTCACACATGAAGCAGAACCTCCAGTCAGACAAGAGGCAGTGTCTCACAGCAAACACACTAACATCTCTGCAGTTAAACATAGATATTCATAAGTAGGATAAATGAAAAACTGAAAACAACTTCATTTCTGCTAACAGCTTTGACATAAAATGAGTTTAGATTTGTTGCAAATGAGCTATGAACACATTTATGGTTTTTAGAGCTTCTTAGGTTTTGCAATTGTTAAATACTGAAGTGTTCAGACAATTTTCTTAAAAATCAATTCACCCACATTCTTTTAAATTTGGATCTTAAAAAGTTCCAATTTTTTGACCTTCTAGGAGGAACAAGGTAGGCATGCAGAAGATTACCTGCAGAGATGTTTGTAATAATTTTACTTAAAACAATAGAAAAAGAACTGGCATGAAATGATGACACCAAAGTGGTGGCTATATTATGGGATACCCAAATAAAGGGATATTAAGTAGCCATAAAAAGTAATTTTGAAGATATCTCAGGAAAAGGCTCATAAGTAATTGTTGAATGAAAAATAAGACATAAAACTTCATACTCACTGTGAATGCAATTTAAGAAGTATACATATATTTGTAGAAAGAAAAGACTTGGAGAGAACTCATCAAAATATTAATAGAGATTATAAGTCAGTGTCAGAATCACAGGAAATTTTTGCTGCATTGTTTATAGCTGTGTCTGTCAAGGTCTAGAGCATGCAATGCTTTTGTAGTGATTAATTTTCTACAAGGGATTTATCCTACTGTTCATCTGAGTAGATAACTCTTATGTCCCCTGCAGGAGACACCTGCTCAAGAAGCAGCTCTGGCTACCTCTTGCACTCACACCATCACTTTCTTGGGGGAATGTGGTCCATGAGACTGAAGCCCCGAAGGAGAACAGTAGCTCCTCAGCTCATGAGGGAGGTGGGGACCCTGCTACATTTCAAGAAATCACAGCTGTAACTCACTTGACACCGGCCGAAAAGCTCATCACTGGGAAGAAGAGCCCATCTGTGCTGAAGTTCTCAAACATCCCCTGCACAGGCTGCCCATTGATGCGGAAGGAGATGCTGGGCACCCCGAGGTCTAGGCAGCAGCTCACCACGTCGTCTGCCCTCAGCAGGTGCTGGTTGATGGAGGCCACAGCTCTGGGGATCCGGCCTGGTGAGCGAAGCAAAGCACAGGGAGAAAGCTGTGGGGCCCTGGAGGCCTTACCAGGCTGGGGGTAGGGGGAGGGGAGATGGGCATCCAGGAGGAGAAAGCTGTGGGGCCCTGGAGGCCTTACCAGGTTAGGGGTAGGGGGAGGCTAGGGCGCCCAGGAGGTTGGTGCTACTGCATCTGAAACACAGCTTTGCTTTCCCTATGTGAGATGAACAAAAGGAATTTTTGCTGTAACATGGTGAGTGGACAGACACCATGCCAGAGATGAGCAGAATCTGAGGGGAATCCCTAAAGCTGGGAGAGTGAGATAAGAACTCAGCCTGCTCAATGTGTGCTCAGACTCTGGCCTGGTGTTTGAAGTAATGGAAAGATTGGTTTTGCTGGATGAAGGTCCTCAGAGGTACTGGTACATGTGTCTCTTCAGTCATAGGCACCTTCTTCTACTCTTCTACCTCCTCTAAAAGACAGGGCCAGGCCAGGTGTGGTGGCACGTGTCAGGAATTCCAGCATTTAGAAGGCTGAGACATGAGGAATGAGTTCAAGGCCAGCCTGGGTAGAGCACTTGCCTCAAATGCCCATGGCCCTGGGTTTGATGTGGCCATTGTAGCACTGGTAGAGAAAGAGGCACAAGAACTTTATATTATTTCAGATACAGGGAAACAGATCATCACTCATACTGTATTGGTGGTTTGAGAAACCTGTCTCTTGTACAGTTTCATTTAATGATTTAACATTTCTGACATCTCTGCATTTCTGTTTCACACTGTCCTGTCCTGGAAACTCTAAAAGTAAATGATCATAGCCATTGTACCCATCCCCCTACCAGGCTTACATGCCAATTGGGAAAGGGGAAGTGAGAGGCAGAAGTTAGGCATGAAACTAGGGTTTCAGACAAAAGATACAAAGGTATCTTATTTCTTGACTGAAGAATTAATTCATGTTCATGATAAACGTTCATCATTTATACAGCAAAGTGTATGAAAGGAAAAACGTAACTCCATAAAAATTCTTCCAGTAAAACACCCCCTCTCCCAACACACATTCTCTCTTTTCATAGTTTTAGCAAGGATTTATTTATTTTAGTGTAGCAAGATAAAGTCGGGAGAAATGGGGGAAAAAAGAAAAAGACATTTCCTGTTACACACACAGGAAATGGGAATAAAGACTCAACATAAACACACAGACACACAGACACACACAGACACACACACACACACACACACACACACTATCCAAACTGGAGTATGTGGATTTTGTAGTTTTTTCACTAATCATATCACAAGCATTTTACTCTGCAATAAAATATTCATTACAAACTGGATTTTAATGGTTTCATAATATACTTCAAAAATATAGTTAAAAAAATTTCCTCCTAACAGATGTTATCTATAAATTTTATATGTATTTTTAATAATACTTCTGATCTCAATTTAAAACGAGTGTTTACAGTGGCTATTGCAATTCTAGCAATAGATTCTAAACTAAGTGGTGGATTAAAAAATGGTGAAAATACTCTTAATTTAAAAAGGGTTATGTGTCCTCTCAACTGACTTGAGTGATCCACAAGCCATATTGGATTCTGTCCCACTCCTCCACAAGTAGTATAATAATGAGGCTCTTCTGAGCCAGGCACCATGCCTAGGGCATGGATCAACAGCAGAAGACCCAGTTCTTGCTCTTGAACGGTCTCATGTCCGGTGGGGAATTGACATTAAAATAAAAAATTGCAACGCTAAAGGGCAAATACAGGAATGAAGGTACACAGTTACCTTCCAGAGGGAGAGGAAGACACCAAGTCAGCCAGGCAGCAGGGGACAAAGAGAGACCTGGACAATGAAAGGTGTGCTAGATGAATCAGATGGGAGAACACAAAAGGAAGGCTGACCAATTTGCTAAATGGCTAATTTGCTGTGGCTGCAGTGAGGGGAGCCATGAGCACTGGATGAGGGCGATGGGGTGGGGCAATAAAGCCAGACAGGAACAGAATGAGGACCACCTGCACTGCAGCAACCCACAGCTCAGCACAGGCTCCATGTATGCTGGCCAGTTAGTCTGGGGTTGCCTTAGACTCTTTTCTTAACTTTAATACTTTGCTTTGCTGTTAAAAATGACAAATGAGTTCTTGATGCAGGACCTACAGTCAAAATCATTTAATAGTGAAATAAAACTGAGTCAAATCTGCAGCGTGTAGGTTTGCCATCTTTCTAATTTCTCCATTTGAGAGATTGACTCCTCCCAGCTCATTGTGTGGACTTTAGAAATCCCAGGCCCCAGGCCTTCCTTCTGCTCAAGTCTACTAATGAAAGTTGTCTCACTCTTAGTTCTGATTTCCTATTAAAAACAACCCGTACTGCATAAAATTTTTCATTAGTTTGATTTCTTGAAAATATCACTGTAGTCATTTGAACAAATTCTAACAGATCTGTGATTTTGTAAATACCAGGAAATAGTGGAAATACTACCTTACAAAATTACCTTTAACAGCATATAGATCCTTGATGGATAAAAATGGAAATTACAAGTTTCTTTACCTTTCTGAGAATGGCAAGGACGGGGACAAAACTGCCAGTGTTTACTGTGACTCCATGTCCTCTCCTTCTATGCATGGTTGAGCCTTGGCCCCACTTTTGAAGGTCCCCTCACCAAGGCTGTACTGCGATGCCACCAGAGGCCGAGTTCTGAGCTTTGGGTAGCCCTTAACGCTCCACAGTGGCCAAGAGCCTTCTATAGGAAGGATGGGCAACAATACTGCCTTTTGCTTCCTCTGATCCATTTCCAGGAAACATTCGCCAACAGCTTTTACAGGCAAATGGAAATAATGGACTGAATGAAGCAGAAATTGGACAGAATGCAGAACTGGACTAATACTACCTAGAAACCAAAGGGAGGCTCGACAGTCACTAGATATGAAGTACAGGCTCAGCAAGTGCTCAGAGCAATGCCACGGCAAGTTTATTGGAGCAAAAGAGCCCATTTCTTACCAGGTTCATGTGGCAAAGCTCATCTGATGAGGTGCATCACACTTTCCCACCTGAGTAGTGTGAAGAGCTTGAAGCCAGGAAATGGAAAAACTGTGGATTGCTTCTGTAACTCTGCCCCGTCCAGAGACGGCCATCTCTACTCTGCAGGAGCTTCCAAGGCTCCCAGTGATGGGAAGGGTCCCTTCCCATTGCTCCATAACAAGGTGGCACAGGACAGGAGAGGCCTTGGAGTCACACAAGGTAGAGTTCGATCCCCACTCTAGGCTGCTACATGTACAGGGCCTATGATTTTAAAAAGGCTCAGCCTCGGATGCGGGGGGAAAAAGGAACCCTCTTACACTGCTGGTGGGAATGTAAACTAGTACAACCACTCTGGAAAAAAATTTGGAGACTACTTAAACAGCTAAACATTGATCTACCATTTGATCCAGCAATACCACTCTTGGGGATATACCCAAAAGACTGTGACACAGGTTACTCCAGAGGCACCTGCACACCCATGTTTATTGCCGCACTATTCACAATAGCCAAGTTATGGAAACAGCCAAGATGCCCCACTACTGCTGAATGGATCAAGAAAATGTGGTATTTATACACAATGGAATTTTATGCAGCCATGAAGAAGACCGAAATGTTATCATTCACTGGTAAATGGATGGAACTGGAGAACATCATTCTGAGTGAGGTTAGCCTGGCCCAAAAGACCAAAAATTGTATGTTTGCCCTCATATGTGGACATTAGATCAAGGGCAAACTCAACAAGGGGATTGGACTTTGATCACATGATAAAAGCGAGAGCACACAAGGGAGGTATGAGGATAGGTAAGACACCCAAAAACCTAGATAGCATTTGTTGCCCTCAATGCAGAGAAACTAAAGCAGATACTTTAAAGCAACTGAGGCCAATAGGAGAAGGGGACCAGGAACTAGAGAAAAGGTTAGATCAAGACGAATTAACCTAGAAGGTAACACACATGCACAGGAAATCAATGTGAGTCAACTCCCTGTATAGCTACCCTTATCTCAACCAGCAAAAACCCTTGTTCCTTCCTATTAATGCTTATACTCTCTCTTCAACAAAATTAGAGATAAGGGCAAAATAGTTTCTGCCAGGTAGCAAGGGGGCGGGGGGGGGGAGAAGGAGGGGCGGGGGTGGAGGAAGGGGGGGAATGACCCAAACATTGTATGCACATATGAATTAAAAAAAAAACTCCAAACAAACAAACAAACAAAAAAAGAGGCTCAGCCTCTTCAACTGTGAAATGGGCACGTGATGCCCACAGTGACCATGAAAACAGCCAAGGGACCAGCATCATCTCCATGACTGTGTGCCACTCATGAGGCCAGGCAGAGTGGCAATTAAGCAGCATGGGCCCTGACTGTCATTAGTGGGACTTTGGACAATCATTTTACCTGTGAGGACTCCAATGATGCTTGCCCCTTAGGGTTGGGGTGAATTTTCTCCCTAAAAACTGATAAGAGCTCCTGGCACACTGTAACCTATAGAAGGCGCTGTTAATGAACATCAACCCAGACACTTCAATTACTTAGTGAACAGAAAAGCTTTCCAGAAACCTGTCCCCATGTTACACCTTTTGTAATATTTGGAAAAAATAAAACATGGGGAATTATAGCATTGAGGGCTGAGTCTAAAAAGTGACTTAAAATCTACTCCCTTTATTGAAAGACAGTGGTAAAAACGCATTTTGAAATATGTTTAATGTTTTGATCCATTTACAGCAACCAACAGAAACATGATTCTGTATAAGAAAAAGCAAACTTATCTTGAAGTTTTTCCACAAGCAGCCTCACCTGCTTTTGAGCTATTAGGAACTCTGAAGAACGCTAGAGCTGGTGCACTGAGAGGCTGGGGTCTCACTGCCTCTGCCAGTCTGAAGCAGCTCAGGCCCATCTGAGGCCCCCAGCTTGGAGAGGCCATTCTGACTCCATGCAGTGCTGGAGTCTAGCTCTTAAATGTCTCCCAAAAGTCCATGTGCTAAAGGCTTGGTCTCAGGGTGGCACTATTGGAGGTTTCAGGTCATTGGGTAGAAAGCACTGAAAGGTGTGCCTCCGAAGGGGATCATGAGACCCAGTGTCTTCTGTCTGTGTCTGTCTCTCTCTGTCTGACTTCCTGATGATGAAGTGCATGGTTCTGTTCCACAGTACACTTCTGCCATGATGTGCTGCCTCAAGACAGGCCCAAAGTAAAGAGGCCAGCTGATCATGGACTGAAACCACAAAACTGTGAACCAGAGCAACCTTCCCCTTTTTGTAAGTTGATTAGCTCAGGCGCTTTGTTACAGTTATGGAAATCTGACTAACAAATCTAGTACTTTAAGATAAAGGAAAAGGCCACCCAGTCATGCTGCATATATTCAAATTAAGCCAATGATAAATACTATGGGATTCAGTGCCTTCTGGTGAGTGATGTAGGTGTTTGGACAGTGGTGCTCAGCACTTCCAGGCCTCCAGGCCCTGCAGAGCTTGGCAATGTAATATAAGCACAAATGTAACTTAGGCATTTAGGAGGAGAGAGGAGCCAGAGATGGAAGTGCTGCAAATGCAGTACTCGCAGACCTCCTCTACACAGCACCGGGGTGGGAAGTGGGCTATCCTTGATGGGCAACCAGAACCCTGGGACTCATTGTGGTAGGGCAACAGCCAGGTCACGTCCCCTGTGCAGATCTGACTGTAGAGCTACTGTCCTGGTAAGTATGAAACCTTAACAAATTATTCTCTTCCACACCTCTCATCTCTCGGGAAGATGAATTCTTCTAATTCTTACTCTTCAGGGAATGGCTGAAGGGAAGGGAGATATGATTTCCCTATGAACTTGCCTGAGCTAGCAACACACACCACTGTGAGCTGAGGCACTGCCAACTGCTGGCCAGAGGGCCACACGGACAAGTGCTATATCAGGAGAGGAGCTGGGCTTGGGTGGGGGCAGGGGCATGTCCACAGCTGATGCCTGCAGTGGCTGAGCAGGTCTGCTGAGGCTGCTCTCTCCTCCATAGAGAAAAAGCTCTTTCATGCTTGGTCACACTCCCAGAACATTACCTTGAAGCTTCTTGTCCTGCCCAGCATGGAACTTGGGTTCTTTCCTCTGTAAGTGTTACTGAAGTGGTCATGAAGCACACAGGACTCTAGGTTTGTTCTTTATAACTGCAGTGGATTTCACAGACGAGAAAGATATCCACAGTGTGGCAGAGATGTCACATTTCTTATCTCATTTTAATTTCAGATTATTTTCAGTTTTGGGGGAAGAGAGCATTACTGGGGTTTGAACTCAGGGTCTCACACTCGCTAGGCAGTCTCTACACCACTTGAGCGCTGCCTCCAGCCTTTTTGCTTCATTTTTCAGGCAGGGTCTCATTCTTTTTGCCTAAAGCTGGCCTCAGACCACAATCCTCCTACCTATTCCTTCCACATAGCTGGAATCAGAGGTACGTACCACCATGCCCAGTTTATTGGTTGAGATAGGGTCTCACTAACTTTTTGCTGGCATTGAACCCTGATCCTCCTGATCTCCACCTCCCAAGTAGCTGAGATTACAGATATGAGCTACAATGCTCAGCCATTTTTTTTTATTTTGAGACAGAGTCTCACTATATTACCCAGGCTGGCCTTGAACTCGTGTCCCTCCTGCCTCAGTCTCTGGAGTGGCTGGGTCTACAGGAGTGTGCCACTGTGCCTAACACTATTTTTGTATTATCTGAAGAAACTGAGTCTCTGAGAGGTAATTTTCTCAATGTCAAAAAATCATCAAGTAACAAAGCTAGGATTCAAATTCAGACTTAGCCACTGATTTCTTGGCTCTCCAGTGACAACATGTTGGGGCACTGCAATTCTTTCCAACTCCTGCTACACACACTGTACACTACTAAGTATGTTAAAGACCAGTTCAAGTCAGTAGCCTAATTTATGCACACAGATAACTTTGAAGTTAGTGGACTGGACATTTAAATCTCTAGGAAAAGAAGAAAAAGTATCATGACTGGTTTCCAATCTCTCCTAATCACCTTCCATCCCCTCCTGCCACAAGTGGCAATGCTTCTTCCATTCCACTTCTTCATCAGACAGTTACCTTCTTTCAGCCAGTCTGAAATTCATGGCCGTCCTGGTGGGAATCATTCATAGAACCTTACGTCTTCAGCTGGAGCATATGCTGATTTATTTACCTGCAGTGCCTTCTGAAGACTGATGTTTCCTGGGTGTTGGTCGAGAAGTCAGAATGAGGCCCAGATTCAGGGGAGCTTTGGGTTTAGTGAGACCAGAAGTGTAACTGGTAGTCACCAATTTCTCCACATCTCATCAATGCTAGAGTCTGAGGGATGAAGTCTCTTGATCACACCTCGATGACCTTACTTATCAAGCATGGGTAAAACCAGAGCTATACTCAGCCTTGAGAAACTGAGTTATCGTCCTCTTCTCCCTCTCTAGTCACACAGAGCCATTACTAGTGGCAGGCACTGTGGGCCTGGAGCATCCAGCCTATTGGCCTTCAGAGGAGACAGAACAGAGGAATGGGAAGGGAAGTGGGCAACTATCACTCCTGGAATGAATCAGCATGAGGATATTCCGGTCATGAAATGCACAGAGAATGCCCTGTTCTTTGATGCCTGACTCTGTGAGGCATTCTTCCCTCAACTGTCAATAAATGGACACAGGATTGACTCATTCCCTGTGCACTGCTGGAAAGTCTTGAAAATACTAATTTTTTTCCTTTTGAGAATGCTCAGTTTGTCTTTAGAACAAGGGTCTGATTTGCTCCCTCCAAGGGTATCAGTGGGCTCTGTATTTCCTCAGTGAGTGTTCATGCAGTCATCTTCAGTGTTGCCCAGGTTCCAGAGAACACTCTCAGGCTTCAAGGATGAGATTGTTGGAGGTAGCAGCCAAACTCAAGCCTATCCACTCACTCTCAGATTAATCCAAAGTCAAGAGCTGCCCGCATTTGCAAATGTGACAGTTCTTTCTTTCCAGATCACTTCCCCAGAGATGGCTTTCTGAGAATCTTATGATGTCTAATGATAACCAAACTAAAGTCTCCTACTGTACAGCCAGACTCAGTGGCTCTACAATGGGACTGTGAGAATTAAAAAGGGAACAGCCACCTTCCATGAACTGGGGAAGGTAGGGGGAGGTGAGAGAGAAAGACAAGGCCAGATTTTTCCTCCACTCTACCCATCACTCTGCCATTTTGCATCTGCTTTTGTCTGTATCACACTGTCCCCTAGACACAGAAACATGGGCAGACTTTCTCATTCTTCCCCCCCAAATGATCCAGGATAAATAAACATACAAATAAATAAGTTTACAACATTGTTAGAAGCTTTTAAATATTTAAAATGAGTATAAAACAGAACAAAAGCCAAGAAACTCTGTATTGACCAACTGAAAATAAAGACCAAGTACAAGAAGTTACTCAGAATCTGGGCCGATGTTAGTCATGACACCAGGCGATCAGTTTAGTCTGAAAGCTAAGGGAAGAGGAAAATGTGATGGGTTACAAAAGAAAATACATTATTTAGGTTCCTACTGGATTTAAAGAAGCATGGTCATGGCTCCTCACATAACAGCATGCAGCACAATGCTTGCATAAGGATTTCTGTAAAGGACATACATCTCTAACCATAGTTTTCAAAGCTACAGGAAAGACAGGCTTTGGGCAATAGGCAAGTGAGATGGGGCTCTTACTGGGATGAAAGAATGAGAGTTAGTCTTGACTGTTCAGTGGGGTAGAGCTGACCCATTTCCTCACAGTTGTGGGCTGTGGACACACTTAGGAAAAACAACAGTATTTATTTTAAAAAAAGGAAGCCTGCTCAGTGCAAGTGGCTCCCACCTGTAATCCCAGCTACCTGGAAGGCTGAGATTGGGAGGATTGCAGTTCAAGGCCAGTCTGTGTAAATAGTTCTTGAGACTGCACCTTCAAAATAACCAGAGAAAATTGGACTGGAGGTGTAGCTCAAATGATGGAGCACCTGCTTTGCAAGTGCAAACCTCAGTCACACAAGAAAATAAAAACAAAATTAAAAAAGGAAGCCTGAATTCTCTCTGCTGCGTGTGGAACATCTAGAGATGCTACCAGTGTAATATGAAGCAGTGTTGACAACATCATTGGCTGGTAGCCAGGTCACAATTCTTCCTAGTGTGACTGAATACAATACCTGATACTTTGGTGCCTCAGCTTCTACATCTGTAACACAAAATCAATCTTTTCTACCTTAAGGGTGAAGCTGAGGACAATGAGAGAAAAATAGACATAGCATGTAGATTGCTGCCTAGTGAATAAAACAATCTTTCCTTTGTTTACTCATAAAACCCTGACAATCCTATGTGATAAAGATGATAGAGAGACTGAGCATAACAAAAGTTCAGTGGTTAGCAATGGACTACATAGCTAGGAGCGGTCAGAATGATGCCACAGCTAAATATTATTTAAAGCTAAGGCTTGTCCCACCCAACAGTCTGGGACTCCCAAGTGTGTACTGTTCCAACTCAAAGTGGCAATTTCAGCGTGAACTGGTTTTAGTTAAGACGTGAGGAGATGAAAGCTTTGCAAGCTGCTCACCTGACCAAAGATGAAGTCCGTCGAAGCCATAGGAGTGTAGGTCATCACCCACGCCGTTGCCTCCCCATCCTTCTCCACCTCCTGGGTACGGGGCGTAGCCTGAGGAGGCCCAGCCCACCCGCAGATGGGTAGGCTCTGCCGTCAGGAAGGGGTCCACCTGGTCGATAACTAGCTCAAAGTACCACTTCTTGTATTGGGCTGAGCCCTCGGCAACGCCCAGGAGGATGTTTGGCCGGACACTGTAATAAAGCATGGGAGAGGTGGTGGCCAGAGCTGCTAAATAACTGAAAAGCGAAGGTGAACAGACCCCAAAGGAGACAGTAAGCCTAGGGCAAGGGCAATTTTATGCTTTTTGTTATTACTCGAAAGTAGAAAAGGCTTACAGCCCCCAACACTTGGTCAAGTTCTTAGTGGGAAGTGTCAGGACGATGCTAACTCCATTACAAAACATAAAGGAGTCAAGGCAACAAATTTATTGAGTGTGAACCACGGACAATGGTGCTGAAAACATTACATAGACTGTATACAAACCTTTGTGTCTTTCCATGAAAGAAATCACATTAAGTTCCATCTTCTGGAAAAATGGTTCAAATTCCATCATTTTCAAAACAGTGCTTTGTCCCCCAAGCATTATCAATACCCATGGCCTCTTAAAAGAATTAAGAAACCACTACCAGCAACCTTGTTAAGGGTGAGATGGGGTCAGCAACATGTTCAGCAAAGTGGTTCAAGCCTGGCCAGACTTAGAGGGCATTTTATTTTGTCAGTACTGGGGTTTGAACTCAGGTCCTTACACTTCCTAGGCAAGTGCTTTACTACTCAAGCCACTTGGCCAGTCTTTTTTGCTTTAGTTTATTTAGTTTATTTTTCAGATAGGGTCTCATGCTTTTGACCCAGGGCTGCCTTGGACCATGATCCTCCTACCACTGCCTCACACACACTGTGCCTAGCCATTGGTTAGGATGAGATCTTGAAGAGTTTTCCCTCCCCTGGCTGGACTCAAGCTGTGATCTTCCTAATTTTCACCTGCCAAGTGGCTGGGATTATAGGCTTGAACCACTGAGCCCAACAACTTTATGCCCGGGCCACCCTCGAGTCACAGTCCTTCCAAATCTGCCCCTCATGCAGCTGGGGGTAGTGTGTTACCATGCCTGGCCTTACAGTTTCTATGTTTGGAACTGTGCTCTTAGAGATGGGCCCCTTTGGGCTGTCCTTGAACCACAATCCTCCCAACTGTGCCTCCATGTATCTAGGATTACAGACATGTGCGACTGCACCCAGTCTTATGGTCTTAGTTAAGACTTTTTATGTTGGAACTGTAGTTATAGACAAGCTCTCCTGCATTGGCATTGTGTCCCATTTGGGATGGGCAAGGAAAAGTCAGGCTGTACCAGGATGGAAGGTGGTGTAGGGGCTTGGGGTTTGGGCTACCCTACCCCTCAGATGGAAGGTATTTCCTTTACTACTGGAAAGACAATGAAGAACTTAAGGCCTAGTGCAGGCCCACTGAGTTTACAGGACTCACCTGTGGCCCATGTGTGAACCAGCAGGCCAGGGGTCCTGGACCACATAGGTATCAGTCAGGTAAATGCCCACTTGCCAGAGGACACAAGCAGCCACAGTATCAACTTGGGACATCATTCTCTTTAAAGACTTTAGAAAGAAATTTGTGTATCAAAATAGCATGAATATATTATGAGGAGGTTATGAGATGGGCAGTCATGTTTAAAATAAAATATGGTGGACCACTCCAGGCCAACCTCTTCAGTCCCTAGGTAGTGCATATCCTCTATCCTCAGCTGCTCAGGGAACATTTGAGAAACTCTGCCTGCTTATGAGAAGCACACATTTGCTGGGTCCTGTCTTAAGTGTTTGATTGCCATGGGAACTATGGGTGGCCAACTTCAGAGTCCAGATCTCTTTCCTGGCTGGAGACATGCCTGGTAGTGGAGTGACAGTGGAGCCTTACCTGGTGACATCGTTGATCAGCCGTGTCTGCAGGAGCAGGTTTCTCCGGGGCAGTAAGTTATCACAGATCAAGTTCTGGTTGGCTCTTACGGCGACCCCGTTGCAGAGACAGAGGGAGCACAGGACATCAAGAACCTGCAGTGGGGCACACCCACCAAATCTCAGGGTCACTGGGAGGGCACCATGGGCAGGACCTAGTGACTACCACGAATGAAGGTAGCAGGAGGGAAGGTTGGGAGCAGGTGACAGGTGCAGAGCCAGCTGCCTCAATCTTGTGCCCCATCCCTCTGAACTCCACATGCCACCTGTGGTCATTGTTCTACCACAGTGAATAAAAGCATGAACTTGGAAGACACACTGAGTAGCCAGGGTCAGGCCTAAGGTGCGGTGAGGCACCTGAAGCACAAAATCCAGGCACTAGTCACCCTCAGAGTGGAGGGGCCTCTAGCGAAGCTTCCTACTCCTACCCAGTCCTGACAGTGCTGTGCTGAGGGTTAGTAAGGCTTAGCTGCTCGTGCTGCAAGAGCACCTAGATGTGCATTTGCTAAGTCCCCATGGCAGCAGGCTCCAGAGCCTTAGGTGGTAGTACAAATTGTTGTTCCTGTGTCTCCTGTTGTGCTATCAGAACTCATTAAGACACCCTTAAATTCCTGGAAACCAGTGTTTAAAATATTTCACCTGCTCCCCTCCTCCCATCTGGGTGAAAAGCAAACCTGCGAGTCCAGGGGGCCATCACCCTGAGACCCACCACTACACCTCCTCTGCATTTGTTTCCAGCTTCCTGGGAAGTGGGAAGTCCCTAGCTGCCTCCTGCGTGCTGCATCTCATCTGCCTAGTCTGTCACCACATCTGCTTTCATTCAGACTCTGTGTCTGCACCATGGCCCAGCAAACTGCACTAGGTCAGGCGCTGTTCCCCTTTCCCCCACAGGGAGGAACACCCAAGGCAGTTGATCAATAACAGTCACGATGTGGCAGGCAGCACCAACGGGAAGGTGGTAGCCGCATTTCAGTCTTTCAAAATGGTCACTGAAGGCTCAGTGCTTGATGGGGTTGGATAGCTTCGGGTTGTTGATGGCATTTGTGTCCATAATTCTCACAAACCAATTTTCTTCCTGACTCCCTGAATGTCATTTCATTCCAAATAAATACAAAGTACATTTATGGGAAAAGCAGAAAAAAAATCCCCCAAGCCCTCTTATGAGGCATTCTTACCATTACCACTCCATGAAAGGTACCAGCTGTGCAAACGTGAAATCCAGAGGATAATTTCTCATTGTAAGAAAAAAGCCATTGACGGCCAGGAAATTAAAGACTTTTCATTTGGCCTTTCATACATTTTTCTCCATTTCTCCTTGGAGTGCCTCACTGGCATAGCCAGAGGAAAAGCAGAGCTTAATTCACACACAAAAGGAACAGCAAAGAGGAAAGGCTCTGCAGAAAGCCCACAGCCTAATAAGAGCAATGCCTCACCTATAAATAAATGATGGCACAGAGAATCACAGTTGACATTGTTCAGGCATTCAGAGGTACTTCTTTGTGTAAAACTGGGGAATAGAGACATGCTTTCTTTTCTAAAAAAGTGTAGACGGGTTCTTGTCAAAGAGAAGGGAATGTGGACAGAGACTCCAGCACAGGTGCGCACAGGCCCAACACTGAGAGTCACCTTGGCAACCTCTGGAAAGCTTGGCTGGTGAGATGGGCTCTGCACGGTGTTCTCTAGGCTGGTCCTCCTCCTGGACCCACAGGAAGGCTGCATTTCCCAGCCTCCCTTGGGAGTATGTGGGGTCATGTGACTGAGTTCTAGCCAAAGGAAAGTGGGCAGGTGTGATGTCTGTCACTTTCAGGCCTGGCTCTGAAAACTCTTGGGTCAAGTCCACTGTGTGTCCCCTTTCTCCCCTTGGATGGAGAGACTCAACAAAGGGTCTCACAGCTTCATCTCTCGCTCTCTCTTTATTTGATAGTATGCGGGTTTGGACTCAAGGCCTGACACTTGCTAGGCAGGTGCTTTACCCCGGGTCTCTCTACTACAATTCCCGGACCAGAGCAGTGACATCACTCAGGAGCTTGCTTGACATACTGGTGCTGAGACTCCCCGTTCTTTTTGTTATGTTACAGTTTTTATCTTATTATTTTTCCACATGTTTATTAGCACATAATAATTGCACAATGTCAGACTCTCCCACTGTTACTAAATCTTAGAGCCTTCACAGTAATGCAAACTCCAGAGGTCTCCAGGATTCTTCACTGTGCTGCAGTCTGTGAAGCCCTGGAAGAACCTGGCTCTGAATCAATATGCAGAATAGAGGCCTGCAGTGACTGAGCAAAGATAAATCTGTGCAAAGCCACCGAGAACATGGGCTTGTCTGAGGAGTTAGGGTTCCCTAACTGATGACCCGTTTTGTGGAGATCATTTGCTTGTAATTGTTTTCATCACTGGTGCCACATTGCCTTCACCAGCCTTTTCAGCCTGCTTTTGTCTTCAAAAGTCTATCTGAAACACAGGCTTATAGGGAATTCTACTGTAAACACATACATATTACATATCATTGTAATCAATGTTTGGATGTCGTGTTTTGCCATTAGCTGTGACCTGTGGGAGCAGTCTTATTAATATGATTCAGTCTTAAAGAATAATGAAATTATATTATTTTCAGGAAAACAGATGGAACTGGAGATCATGTTGAGTGAGATAGGCCAAGTTCAAAATGCCAGATATTTCATATTTCTGCTCATATATGGAATCTAGACCTAAAATGGTGATGATGATGATGATGATAATGGGACTTGGTTGTGAAAGGGGGGGCTGTCTCAGTGGAGGTGGGGAGGGGAAAGCAGAGGGTACTGAGGGGTGAAGAGGACGGAAATACAGCACATTTTATATATATATATATATATATATATATATATATATATATGAAGAAAGCATAATGAAACTCACCAAATGCTGTTTGAAAAAGGAGGGAAAAAGGGAGGGAGCTAAGGGAATATAACAGATGGGGTAAACTTGTTCAAAGCACACTGTGAGTATTTATGGAATCATCACAGCGAACCCGTGGTACTATTAATGTGTGCCAATAAAATGGTAAAAAGTGCTGACCATCCTAATTCTGTGATTTTTATATCACGTCCTGTGTTTGAAAAAATAGTTTTGCAGTCCCTGAGGAATAGGTTGCTCCCTGTGGGTGGGAGTTAAGTGGCTGGGATGTTTCTGTGTTGCTGTGGTTGCCTGAAAAGTCGCCGATTTCATGGAGCTTTGGACCAACCACGTGGGAGTTAGTGGCTTTGCTTCCTGGTATTTGACCCTCCCCCAGCTTAGGCTAGACCTTTGATTCTGATTTATACTTTCTGCTGACCAATGATATTACTGTTTTACCACACATTTTTCTCACAAGTGGCTTCAAATCCCTGTGAAACAAAGAAGATAAAATCTGACAATTCTGAGTAGATTTAGAGTGTGGTAGCTTGGGGGTGGGGGGTAGGAAGATGAGGGTGTGGCATGTGTGTATGTATAGTTTTGTTCTTTGAAGCAAGGTCTCACTATATAGACCAGGCTGGCCTTGAACTCACAATCCTCCTAAATTGGGGGGTTGTGCCTGGGGGAAGTGTTTGAATTATAGGCATAATTACAGAAGCCACTACACCTGACTTGTGTGTGTGTATGCATTTATAAATCTATTTATTAAGAAAACTTATTCCATGGAAAGCTATAAAGTAAGTAACACAGTGTTTCTTTCCACTGGTGAGACTGCTATTCTGTGGGGTGAGGCCTGTACACTGATGTGAGCATCCATTAATTCAAGGTTAAATAGGAGTGGACTCTGGCTCTGCTCGCTCAGTCCTTTCATTCATTTATTAATCCTCTGACAGACATGTATGGATACTTGCACTATATAACACACGAACTTGACACTCTGGGGAATGTGAAGATGGTCCCTATCATGAAGGAACTTACAATGGGTAAGAGAAGTATACGAGGAAAATAAGGACAATGAAAGGCAGACTCGAACAACCATTAACAAAGAACAGATAGCGTAAGGGTAGAGGAGACAAATTCCAACTGAACTAGAGAAAGTCTCATGGAAGGAGTGGCATTTGAACTAAGCTTTGAAGGGCAAATGGAATTTTACTTTGTATTTTAATAACTGATGAGAAAAGAGTGTTGATGGATCCTGGAGAAGTAGGAAGTTAGGAGGTGCTGAAGGATGCAAAAGAACAAAGCTGACAGGTCAAAGGGCAGAGTGCACTCAGAATACAGGGAGGCGGCCCCGCAACCCACCTCTGCCTTTTTTCTCAAAACACTGCACTTTTCCCATAACCTCAAATTGGATCATCTGGAGATGAGTGGGAATACCTTCCAGAGAAGTGACAGGGTTGACAACTTGAGTATTTTGAGAGGGGGTGGAGGTGTACCAATCACTACCCTTATGTATAGTCTTGATTCAAAGCATGTGATGCAGGTGACATGGGAGAAAGGGCTGAAATCTACAAAATGTACAAGCCCTTTTTAGGGTAAAATGTCACAACTCTAAAGACCACCTCCACGAATGATGGGGGAGGGGCCCTCAAGCTTCAGTCTGAGAAATGCTAAACTCATGAAAATGCCTTCTAACTGCAGACTTTCTACTTCGAGTACTTTGGTATTTAGATAATTATGAAAACATGACTGAACATACCTTCAGGATATTTAGACTCTTAAGAACATGCTTACAGACTTCAGTTTGTGGAAAGATATTAAACTTATGGTCCCAACCTGTCATTAATGAGCTGTGTGGCCCCTAGAAAATTCCTTGATGTCAATGGCTTATGTCCTGGTCTTCTTCTGCCTCTGTCGAATGGAAATAATGATGCTATCTTAGAGGGGCAGGCTGAAGACCAGAGAGGGTGCACTCAAACACTAGCATGGTACCCACAATTGGCTACGTGCAAAACAAAGGTCACCAGCATCATTGTTGCTGTCAGAGAACTTCTGAGATCCCTTGTGGTTCTGGAATTCTGCATATCCTTTTCTCATCATGGAAAGCTATGTGAATGGGTCAGGGACTCCTGAAAATAGGACTGCAGAAAACACAGCAGCTTGGATTGCAAAACATTTTGGTGGCATTTTCCAAGCCATGACTAAGTCTGTTGTATACTCAGCACACTTTTTGCAAAACTACCACAAAGATATTGGAGATGATTTGAGCCTAGGTTCTCTTTGAAAAGAAAAACTACCCAACTGATTAACCTCTACAGGATGATATGAATTCATGGCCAACCAGCTTTTACCCCCAAATCCATTAAAAGATAAAAAGGGGTATCCTTGAGTAGACTCTTACATTCCAAGATAAGAGCCTGATTCTTAAACAGCGCCCTAGCTCCAGAAGATTCAAAGCTCTTCTGCTAGTACACTTGGGTAACTTAGCAGCTCAGGAACTGATTTCTAGCAAAGTACTTCTGATCACTAGGCCTGTTTTTTCAGTTGTGGAATGAGAAGACTAGTGGTCCATTGCCACTGAATGACATCATCTCAATACTTGGAGGCTTTTGGTTGAAAGAGGCCAAAAGAAAACTGGGTATCTATGAAATGCATTGTGTGGTATCTTCACAATACCCCTGGGGTACTTTTCCTTCAAAGGGCTTCTGTGACATCTGTGCATGGATCATGGCTCATGTCCTGTGTTACTCATGGCTTAGCAATAATTCTTATTACACTTTGCAGACAGGAAGGAACATACCGGAACACAGAAAATCTAGATGGAGGCTGGGGCTTAATGCTGACTTTTGATTTACTGTGTTTGAGAAAGCAGTTATGGATCACATATATTTCTTTCCCTTCTTTGCCCAGCAATTTCACAGATGCTGAGGACTGTAGCTTTTCTGCTCCCTAAGAATGCTGCATCTCATGTAATCAATGCTCTAAGGGGTCATTCTCCTGGACTCTCTGAGATGTCTGTCAAATACGCAGTTTCTCCAAACAATGGCAGAGAAAGGGCCAGTGGCCAAGCTGCAGAAGCACAGCCACCTTCCCTCATGCCAAGGCAGGCTCTTGGACTGCACCCTCAACCTTGCCTGACAAGCAAGTTAGTACATCTCCCTCATGATGCAGATGAGAGAGGCCAGGATGAAACACACCATATTTATAGACTTTCTCCATAGGCTATTGGGTCTTAGAGAGACAATTTCATAAAAATAGAGGTGTTGGAAGTATAAGATAACTTAAAAAATTGATACAGCAGTTCATCTTAGGGTGGGGGTACTGCCCCAGTTTTATAGATGAAATAATCGAGATGAGACTTAAAGTCACACAGCTGTTTTCTATCCAATGGAAAGATCAGTGGCTTTGGTCTTCACTGATGGAGAGTTTCTTTCACTTGGCTTGGTTTGATGCATTAAATCTGATTTCATTTAATAATAAAGCAGGTTACCAAGGCTTCCTATGCTATTTTTAATCTGACTTCTGTATAACTTAGTATTAGGGGTTTTCCTACTAAGCTCTGAGACCCTATGGTGGAAGTTGGTCTTGTGCAGTTGTCCTCATAAGGGCCCTGCTGAAGGCCCCACAATGAGCTTTGTTTTAAGAGCTAACAGTGATGGTGGCACCTGTGTGGCTGTCTGTCTTGGATTGTGTTTGTAGGCAAGGAAGGTCTTTCAGAATCTGTTTCCTAAAGTCAAGAAAAAGACCAGACATCATGCTCTCAGTAAGATATGATGGTCATTAGTGCGAGGGAGGGAAAAGCCAGAAACTCCAATCACCACGGGGGCTTGCTCTCCATCTTCCCACACCCACCTTGTGGTTCCGCCCGTGCTTATCCAACAGGGAGATGATGGACTTGATGTGACTCTCAGTGATCAGATTTAAGGCTTCTGGGCTTTCAATCAAGATGCAGTGCAAAACCTCCAAAATACCTGCATGCATGCCACAAAATCATTTGAACATTAAGTAACCTGAAGAACTGACTGTCACTTAGAAATTTGAGAGTGAAAAGATTGTGCTAAGGGTACAGAACAGCATCAATTCTTTGACTTCTATTAAATATTCCCAGCCAGAAGAGAGATTCAATCACGTCTGGTAGACTTCAGGAACCCCTAAGGGCCAAGCAGTCTGTAATTTAGAGGTAAGTTTAATTCAGCACTAACCTCATTTCCCTCCTCCTGGACAAAGATATGACCTGTGTTTGTCAAAATTTACAGAAGGAACTCTTAATTTGAGCACACCAAACAATACTTCATTAAATATAGATATAAAAGCAGTTGTCCATGTTAGTGCAACTTTAAAGGTCATTCAAATAACTTAGGAAGTATTCTATATTCTCAGAATAAGAATTTTTCTAAGAACCATCTTTCAATTCTGTTTCTAACCAGGCAATGTTGAAAGAGGGTTAGAACAGAAGGACAGTAAAAGTTAGGAGACCAGGGTCACTGAGTTGGGGGTGGAGTTGAAGGACCCAGGGAGTGCAGATGAAGGTACAAACTGAAAAATGCAAGAAAAAAAGGACTGAATAAGTTGGGTTTAGAGCATCAGATAAAAGTGGGAAGGATATGTGTCAGGAAGTTGCTGAAGTCATTGTTGGCAACCCAGTGAGAAAGATTCAAAATAATCTTTTCTAGGTATAGTTTTCTGTCAGTTCTTACCTGAGGAAGATTCTAGTCTGTCCAATTTACTGATTAGCCAATCAAGATTATTGGAGAATTGCGCACAGTTGTTTCTGTTTCCACGAATGAGAGCCGCTGCAAACAAGGGAAGGTTTGATCATGTAAGTCAAGGGCATATGAACAAGGAAAGTCGTTGAATACATCCCCTGCTCAGAAGCTAAATGGAACTGAAAAACAAGAGGAGTCCTTTGATACAATTCTATTTCTGTATTTACAAGAGTAACAATCTAGCATTCACTCAACAAATATTTCCAGAGAATCTGCTATGTACCAGGCACAAAGGATTTCTGGGAACCAAGATCAGGGCAGAAGAGACAGATTCTCTTCTTTCAAGTTGGGGGTAAAGGCAATAAATACATAAATTAATAAAATTACTTCAGAGAGTGGTAATAATTTAATACCTGCTTGGTTTCTGACTTAAGAACTATGCCTCTCGTAACGTCCTCTTAAGTCTAGCTAGAGACTTCTTTACTGCTAAGGGGGGCTTCCCTATGAATGCTGCTGGAAAGGTGGTTAAACTAATAGATACATAATAACAATATGTGACTGCAAAATGTCTCAAGGCTATCACCATGAAACAGTGTTCTCAAGTGTGGTCACTGGACTAGGCAATCAGCATCCCCGAGAATCTGCTGTAAGCTCACATTGTTGGGCCTCACTCCAGATCTGCTGAAGTGGAACCTTGGGACAGGGCCTTCTACCTATGTTGTTCTCAGTCCTCCAGCAGACTCTGATACCTGCTCCTACTTGAAAAACCACTGGCAGATGACATTGCAGGGAGAGGAGAGGATGTTCTATCATCTAGACCACACCACCTGCCCTCCTGAAGCAAAATAGCAAATGCCAATCTGGAAGAATGTGGTGTCAGTGAGGAGGAATGCAGTCTGAGCAACTCAGCCACTTCTCAGGTTGGCTGCAGCACGGGAGAGAAGCATGAGCATGCTGGAGTAGACTGCTGGCTTAGGCCACAGCTCTGTCACTGACTAGCTGTGTGACCTTGGGCAATGAGCATCTTCATCAGAGAGAACAGTAACTACACTTCAAAGTGTTGCCCTGGGGACTGAAACAGTATGGCACAGCATGCACACAGAGCTCCGTAAGTGCTAGCCACTGCTGTAACAACTTCAAAGTGTGAGCTGTGTCACTACACAGCACTAGGGTTTGAAGAGACCCTACAAGGTCACACAGTACAGAAACAACCCCATCAGCCTGATTACAACATAAAGAACAGGCCCAGACTGACTCCCAGGGTTCTCCTCAAACCCCATGAACCTTCCAGGGACTTGCAGAGGGATACACAGCTCAGAGTGAAGCCCTGAAGGGCTTCTTTGTCACAGTTCCTGAGCAACTGCTATGGCCATCCTGCACAGACCGCCTCTCTCTGAGAGACTGGTGGCCAAGGCCTTGGCATGGAACTTGCCAAGGCAGGCACCAGGACAGCACCTCACACCCAGGCTTGTGAGAGGAAAAGTGGGTGCTGCCTTTATCATTTCACTAAATGAAGTAGATGCCAGGTCATGACCAACTGAAGTGGACAAACAAAAGGGCACAGAATTTAGAGACCAAAAACCCTGCACTACAGCTGGTATCCTTGCAGACTCTAAACATGCTCAGATCTTGTTCCCTCATTTTAAAAGTAAGGAGCTGAGGTCCAGAGGAGGTGACTATCAGGGCCTTACATGTAGTTTTGGCACAAGGGGTCACCCTCTGCTTCCATTTGTTGCTGACTTCTGCCCTGATTTAGAAAGCACAATAAGGTGTTGGTTAACCATGAATGGTGGAGTTAGTATCAGATGGTTAACCAGAGCACTCTGGGTGACATTGTGGGTTGTCGCAGGGGAATCCTGTATGCCCTTGGAGGTCTCCCAGGAGAGGGCACAGCAGGCACACCTACCCAGTAGCTTGTACAGGAGGTTTAGAACTTCTTTCCAGGCCATGCCGCTCTCTTCCCTGGCAATCCCTGCAAAGTGGGCCACGCTGTTGTAGATATTTAAGCGGTCAATGCAGTTCAACACCAGGGCCAGCATTCCCTGAAGAGGAGAGGTGAGGGAAAGCAGACATTCCTGAGAAGAAGGCAGGAGCCCCTGTTCCTTCCCTCCCCATCCATTCAACCTTTAAAGGCCCATGGTGCTAATATGCAAATAGACATTCACGGTGCCAGTTGGACTGGGGTTTTTTCCACCTAAAAACAAAATATGCATTTTTATGCCTCAGAGACCTAAATAGCATCCATTTGGGGAGTGAGTCAGCGGTCTCTTCTGACAGGTTTGTCCCCACGTGCTGTGCTTAACCCAATCCAAGGACATACTGAAGAAAAGAGAGCATGAATAAGTGTCACAAAGCCTGCCTTCTGTCTGCTGTGAAGTAATTCTGACTCACTCAGAAACAGCTCTGGATATAGTTCCCATTTTTCTCTTAAATCTTAAAGAAGTTGGAGAAATTCCATTCAGATGCACAAAACAACCATGCTTAGTTCCTCGTCCTGCCCCCCGCCCCCGAAGCGGGGTTTAGAGACAGTAAAACCTAAAGAGGATTTTCAACCACTTTTTTTGCTAACTTACAATACAATAGAAACATCTGTGCCGACTACGCTTGTAGAGTGCGAGGAGACGGTAAGCACAGTGTTAGTAGCCTACATGCTAAGGCATACAGAATGCCCTAGCTGGCTTGGACCAGAGGACTGAGCAGATAGGAATGCACACCACTAAGTCTGGAAATGTGTAAGGGACAAGCTGTGTGCTCGGGCATTGAAAGCTGCAGAGGTCCACCATGGTGTTAGCTCCAGCTCATCAAATCCAAGTTTAGACAAGGCTTGTGAGTTGCCTGAGGTCACACAGCAGGAGTGAAGCCATAATGGGGCCTGGGTCTTGTCAGACTCCTTGCTTTCCCCCATCCAGGTTATACCCCAGCGATCCAATGCTCGGGTTCTAACATTAGACCTGTGTCATCCGTATCATTCAGTTTTTCAGGCATTTCAGATGCAGCAGAATCTGGCATTTGTATTTCTCAAGCAGGTTTCTTAGGTAATTCTGGTGTCTCCCAAAACTTGGGAAGAACAGCCAAATGCTGTGGTCAGCCTGCATCACATGCTGTAATGCTCAAAGTGGATTTTGGGTGGACACGTGGCACTGAAGTTTAAGACCTGACTGGCTTGAAGTGCCAACCTTGCTAATGTAAGCAGGGGCATGGCAGTGACCCTTGTCTTCCAGCCTCTGCATCTCTCACTCCTCAACTTGTTCATAACCATGCACATGCACAGGGGCAAGGCTTGGCTAGAGTCATGAGGACATTTGAGCCCAGGATGTAGAGACGACCTCGTCCCCACCCCTTTGACTCACCTCTTCCTTGAAAAGGTTCTGTCTGTTCTTGAGGGAGCGGAGCTTGTTCTGCTTGTCTTCATGCCGCATCTCCTCCTCTGGGGGCTGGAAGTAGGCAATCAAGTCCCGTAGGGTCTGCAGGATCTCTTCTATCGGGAGGGTGACAGGGGCAGCTGTACGGTTGTTTCCACTAAAACACCACGAGAAGACCTGGCTCAAGCACCAACCTCCAGTGGGGCCCTGACAGCCTCCATCCCCCTTGCTCCTCCAGTCCCACACTGGGCAGCAAACTGCTTCCTGGGGCCGTCATTGCAACAACTCCAAAATGAAGTTGGCCAACCAACCACCAACACAAGACGAAATTCAGACTTGATTCTATAGCTATTTCATAAACAAGGGAAACAATTCCTTTTCACATTTATTTTCTATTTATAACTTATCCTGTTAAAGTTGCTGTGATCTACCCACACCCATCATCTAATAATTTTTAATCCCCTCTTTGAAATCCAAAGAGGGGATTTCAACTGTGGTTACTAAGATGGTGACTTCTCTGTGAAGCAGATGGCTTTCTTCCATTACCCCTGGTTGTCTGCCATGTCCTCTTGTAAAATAACAAACTTAAGAACCCATACTTCTTTTCCACTCTGACACCGTTTTGGCACAGACTAAATGTCATGCTGGAAGGGCTTTCATCCCCAGGTCGCTCCCTCTGTCAGTGTGTCTCCTGATATATTTGCATGTGCTTTTGTCTTTGTGTTTCTATGTGCATGCACACACCAGCTTTCCCTCACCTCATTTGGATGTCTCCTCTGCTCTCTGTGTGCCTTCTTCTGATGCTCCTCCTCAACCTGTACCCCCCACTCTCTCTGCAGAACTCCGCCCCCCATTAGTGTCTCCCTTCCTCTCAGCATCATTCCTCTCTGCCTCAGTCCTGTAGAAAGGCATCCACAGCCCCAGCGATTGGGAACTGGCTGCATGTGCCAATAGCACCAGAGCTTCTTGGTGGTCAATTTCTAATGAGTTCTGCTTTGCATTTACAGGGCATTTGGTCAGTCAGCTGCCGTTGTGTATTAATCTGGACACATAACTAGAAAGACCACCTCTAGGCCTTAAAGCAACGCTCTGAATAAGCTCTGAAAACATGGAGGGGAGTGGTGATAATTCCAATTTTGTATAAAAAGTGCCAAGCACCTTTCATGAGGGGAGAATTCCAGTGGACTGTTAGCTTATTACAATCAGGAGGTAATTGTCACCAGTCTGTACTCAACTCCTGGCAGAATGTGGCATGGGGTAAGTTCCCAGAGTGCTTGAGGGAAACAACTGAACAAGCACAGCTGGGGAGGAGGGGAAAAGGGCCCATGGTGCCACGAGATGTGGGAGGGAGGCTTGGGAACACAAACTCAATCCAGTGGGACTTCCAACTTCTGGGCTTATGAAGGAGTGGATACACTTTTAGTTTTGAGACAGACTCTCACTTTATAGCTGAGGCTGGCCTGGAACTCACTAAGCAGCCTGCCTCAGCCTCCTGAGTGCTGGGTTATAGGTGTGGCCACCATGCCCAGTTTATTTATTTTTTAATTTTGAGTTTACTACAAGGAGCCTGGTTAGGAGTAGTTCTTTCTGTGACAGTGAACAATGAAAGCAGGTTTATAGGCATTTTGTAGTTTGAAGCAGTAGTATGTGAAGCATATGGAGGCTGAGGCCTCAGAGTTCAGTCTTGTCGCTGTCGTCAACTGTGTGATATTTGGGCCACTTCTAAACCTCTTGTGCTTCAGCTTTGCCCTGGGAAATAGGACAGGCATACATACTCCCACTGCCAGGGCCTTCAGGTCTAAATTTGTTCTATGGGTTTTCAACACTGGGTCACTTCATCTTGTCCCCAGAAAAGACACTGATGTAATTAAGTCCTCCACTAGACTGAGATCATCTGCCGTTCCTTAAGAAAAGAGTGTGCAACACGCTAGCACAAGCTACAGTGGTGAGTGTGGATGTGTTCTCTGAACAGCCACATGGTGCTCACGTTCCACTCTAGAACCTCAGAAGATGAAGATGGACGGGGACCAGATAAAGCCTCAACTCAGAACTAACTGCAAAGCTAACTGCAGCTGGCATCTATCCCACCCCAGCCTTCTCCAACCCCTCCATCCACTGATGCATTACATCCTTGAATCTTTGGCAATTCCTTTGTCAAATTCAAGTGAGATCCCAGGTGATTCTGAATATTTGGCACACCATTACCGTAACATAATTATTTAGGTACAGTTCCTTTTTTTATTTTTCATGGTACTGGGGTTTGAACTCAGGGCCTACACATTGAGTCACTCCCCCAGCCCCCCTCACCCTGTTTTTGTGCATGTAATGGGTTTTATCGAGACAGAATCTTTTTTTTTTCATTTTTCTTTTATTATTCATATGTGCATACAAGGCTTGGTTCATTTCTCCCCCCTGCCCCCACCCCCTCCCTTACCACCCACTCCGCCCCCTCCCTCTCCCCCCACCCTCAATACCCAGCAGAAACTATTTTGCCCTTATTTCTAATTTTGTTGTAGAGAGAGTATAAGCAATAACAGGAAGGGACAAGGGTTTTTGCTGGTTGAGATAAGGATAGCTATACAGGGCATTGACTCACATTGATTTCCTGTGCGTGGGTGTTACCTTCTAGGTTAATTCTTTTTGATCTAACCTTTTCTCTAGTACCTGTTCCCTTTTTCCTATTGGCCTCAGTTGCTTTTAAGGTATCTGCTTTAGTTTCTCTGCATTAAGGGCAACAAATGCTAGCTAGTTTTTTAGGTGTCTTACCTATCCTCACCCCTTCCTTGTGTGCTCTCGCTTTTATCATGTGCTCATAGTCTAATCCCATTGTTGTGTTTGCCCTTGATCTAATGTCCACATATGAGGGAGAACATACGATTTTTGGTCTTTTGGGCCAGGCTAACCTCACTCAGAATGATGTTCTCCAATCCCATCCATTTACCAGCGAATGATAACATTTCGTTCTTCTTCATGGTTGCATAAAATTCCATTGTGTATAGATACCACATTTTCTTAATCCATTCGTCAGTGGTGGGGCATCTTGGCTGTTTCCATAACTTGGCTATTGTGAATAGTGCCGCAATAAACATGGGTGTGCAGGTGCCTTTGGAGTAACCTGTGTCACAGTCTTTTGGGTATATCCCCAAGAGTGGTATTGCTGGATCAAATGGTAGATCGATGTCGAGACAGAATCTTGCAAACTATTTGCCTGGGGCTGGCTTTGAACTGCAATCCTCCTGATCTCTGCCTCCTGAGTAACTAGCATTACAGGTGTGAGCCACTGGTGCCTGGCTCTGTTCCTCTCTTGATGTTAAACTTAGAAGAACATCTGACAGTTTCTTTTATTTGTTGACTTTCTAAGACTTCTTAACATACCACACTGTTTATTTGTCCTACTGTGCCATTCCCAGCAACTTACAGAGGCGAGGAGAAAACATGGGGAATTTTAACTTCTTGTTCTTTCATATTCCTTTAAACTTAATTTGCTTCCCCAGAAGGCCACCACTCCTGCTTGCCATTTGTACATGGCATGTGCTTTGGGTTTCTCAAGAGATGCAAGAGAAGAGTCTATTCCAAATTATTTTTTCCTCCTCCTCCTTCACTTCCTAGCTCCTGCAAAATCCAAGTGCTGTGGCTTTTGCAGCCCCCACCCTGCTGCATTGGTTTAGTTTTCATTAGTCCTCCTTCCTTCTCAAACACCCTGTAGTGGTTGGAAGAATTAAGAATTTCCCCATCATTGAGTGTTAGAGTTTTTTATTCTAGATACAAATCCCTTCTCAGGAACATGATTTCCAAGTACGTCATTCCATTATGTGAATTGTCTTCACTTACTTGACAGCATGCTTTGCAGCAAAATCCTTTTTAAATTTTGGCAAAGTTCAATTTATTTATTTATTTTGTGACACTTGCTTTGGATATCATATTTAAGAAACCATGGAGTAAGTCTAGGTTATGAAATTTTTAACTGATGTTTTCTACATGTTTTATTATTCTAGTTCTATTTTGATCTTTGATCCATTTTGAGCTGATTTTGTAATATCTGTGAGGTAGGAACCACTGACTTTAACAAAAGATTTAAGGGCAGAGGTGGGAGAATTGGGGGCCAGGTCAATAAAACCATCTATCTCGAGGGTGGTCATCTTGGAGCTAATTGAGACCATACGATTAACATGCATTTGCAGGCAATCTGTACCAAACAATTCGCTCTCAAAGCCTTTCTTGAGAAAGGGAGTAGGTTACAGAAGTAGTGAGACATAGAACAGAGAACATTTTTGCACAGGGGTCACAGAAAACCAGCAGCAGGGCCAAAGTAAGCAAAGGGTTATGACTTCAGGTCTTAGCTTCCTCATTTGGCAGAAGTACTCTGATAACTCTCCTCCCTCCAGTTTACCTACAGGACTCCACATTACACTGATTCACAGCAGACCAGCCAGAGACAGATTTCTCAGCCACTTGGAAGTGAGGCTGATGAAGTTTTAACCAATGCAATGCTTGCCATTCACTCTTTTCTCGGGACAGACTTTAGACATCGTTAATAAGATATTTGTGACTGGTATTGTGTGGTGAGGCTGCTGTGCTAGTCTAGGGATGCACTTTTGGAATCTGTGGGAATCCTAATGCAGAACGGTGGAAGAAGCTGGGCTGCCTATTTTCCTATTCTTTATTACCACTGAGACAAGACTGACTCTGCACTACAACAGCACTTAACCCACACTCCGATTTATACAGAGTCCTCGGCCACAATGCTGCAACTGCAGGAGATTTTTTTACAGTTCTCTTTTCATGCCAATTCACACATGGGATTTATACCCTCTTGGCTTTCAAGATATTTTCCTACAAGGTAAGAATGGCTTGAAGCGCTGCACTGTTCCCAAGAGAATCAGTTCCTGACAGTAACTGGTGAAAACAACCCTGAACTCTGTGTTGGCAGCACTGTTCAGGCTCTGGTGGGATTAAGTTCCAGCCATGGCTGTGTAACTTAAAGCTTCCACTATAAATCTACTTTGACCCAAATCATAGTGACAACTCTGAATGATACAGAAACCCTTTCTAGGAAGCACAGAGGGAGCAGAAAGGTTCTCTTCTCTCTTTCCCTCAGGAACATAAAGCACTCATTCATTTCACTTAATTTTCATGCAGCTATTCATTGCACCAACCTGAGTAAGCAATGGGGCTTGGGCAGAGTGAAGCTGGTGCAAGGTCAGTGATGTGGGAGATATAAGCATTCTCTGGTAAAATTCCTGGTGTTTAGTTATTTCCTGAAAATACTCACAGTATGAACAAGGAAGTGGGTGAATAGGGTTGGAAGGCCTCAGGGTAAAAACTGCTGGGAAGAGTGGGGAGGTGCTTCCATACCTGAGGAACTGGCTGAATAGGGCTGTTGTGTTTCTGATGATCCGGGCAGCCTGGGACTCCTCCCGCTGGCATCTCTGCAGTGTCAGCCCATCATCCATGTGGCCTTCCTGATGGAGGATGACCTACCACAGGCCAAGAGAACCAGGTCCAGGTTACACAGTGCTTCACAGCTGGGCACTTGTCTTCTGCAGTGTTTCCTTCTTACTGCTTTTCCTAACTAAACTCCCCTGGGTCCATTTTGAAAATGGGACATTAACAAAATTATTTCACCCATATGCCCTATTACTGACATATGACTCATTCCTGAGACATGGTGCTTTGATGGAAATGGAATTTTATGTGCCACTATAGTATGAGTTACAATAAATTCCTTGGGCCTAGATGGCCAATTTGAAAGGGTGAAAACACACTTTATAATAAGTTTTCTCTTAAAATTAACGTAAAACTTTACCCTTAGAGATGGAAAAAGTCACTTTGTTCAGAGCCTTTCCCTGCAAATATAAATTAGGAAAGAACAATTTAAGGCAAAACTCTGTCCTGGGATTAGGGTTAGATTTCTCTTCTGAAGGACAGCTGCACTGAATTAACTAACAGCAAGACTGGGGAAAGCAGCTCAAGACAGGAGTTGCTTCTCATGGAGGCTGGAGAGTGGATTTCAATGCATGAGCTCTGGGGTTAGCTCACAGCTTTAATTCTGCAGTGCCACTTACCAGCAGTGTGACTTTGGGCAAGTTACTTAACCTCTCTTTGCTTCAATTTCACAATCTGAAAATGGATTTATGGTAGAGTGTTGTTTGGAGGGTCAGGTAATTCACATGGAAATTACTTGGAATGGTCCCTGGAATATAATAGGTGCTCCAGTATATTACTGACCTTTGATCAGTTATCAACAAACTAAGCACACTTATTGATCAACAAGGACATCATAATACAAGTTTTGAGTGGGCTAGCAGCTTCTGGTGTGGAGGTCAGTAGCTTTTTCCCTTAAAATTGTAAAGTATGTGCAGATATTAAGTGGATGGCTCAACCCTGGCTCAAGTCAGGGTCAAACCCAGGACTTGGTCTGGTTTCTTCTTGGTGGAAGTGAAGAGAGTCCATAGTTGGTCCTGGAAGTCAGTCTGTGTGTCAATATCATCTAAACACACAGCTCCAGAAAGTATCTCTAGAAAAGCATTTTTTCAATTTCTTTTATTCATATGTGCATACAATGTTTGGGTTATTTCTCCCCCCTTCCCCCCACGCCCCCTCCCTTACCCCCCAGCCCCCTCCCTCTCCCTCCCTACCCCCTCGCTACCAGGCAGAAACTATTTTGCCCTTATCTCTAATTTTGTTGAAGAGAGAGTATAAGCAGTAATAGGAAGGACCAAGGGTTTTTGCTAGTTGAGATAAGGCCAGCTATACAGGGAGTTTACTTGCATTGCTTTCCTGTACATATGTGTTACATTCTAAATTAATTCTTCTCAAACTAATCTTAGAAAAGCATTTTTCATAGCATAAAGAAACACCTATTTTCCCTTTCACATGAAAATCTCTTCCTTATTTTTAGTCCTGATACAATGAATTCACACAGGAAATAGAGTACAGGCTTGAGAAGGTTTGTGCTCACTTTAAAGACTTTCTCTTCCTTCTCTGCATGCTGCTTAGGCATTAACCTGGTGCCCTCACCACTGGACTCACCAACTCTTGGGAAACATTCCTTTGTCAAACTTCGCAGCAACTGTTTAACAATGCTGCACTTAGATTCAGCAAAACACTCACTGTTTACTTTGGCATCAGTCCTAGATACTTGGTCCCTAAGGACCAAAATCCTTAGGTTTTTGCTTGTTCAGGTAATACATTCAAACTGGCCAAACAAGAAAGTGATGAGAACTGGGGAAACATGGTTGTCAGAATGCAGTTATTCTGTGCCCATTGATCTCAGCAGGCCAATTCCTAGGATCCTTTCTCTTGTTGAAGGAATCCCACAACCCAAGGGAAGAGGGAAGGGAAAGAGTGCTACCTGCAAAGTGAGCTACCCTTCATACATGTCTTCATTGTGTTTGTTCTCCCTTGATTTTGTTCATTTCATAAAATGCTTTACATAGATTTGCTTTACACAGGTTTGTATTTTAGAGGGAGAACTCTCCATCAAATGAAGCATTAGGACATCGTAAAGTGTCTCTCTCAAATTCACACACATTCTAGCAGTTAGATAGGTCTACAGGCAGGGAAACGCAAAATAAAACAAGCTGGGATCATTCCACATGGACAGAGCCCATGGAGTATTCCCTGCCTACCCAGAGTCACACTCAAAATCCATTGCCTTAGTAGGTTTGAAAAACTATAGAGGCTGTCAGTGGTATTGCTGCACTCTGTTGAGGATTCTGATAGGCTGGTGGAGGATGGGTTTGGCATCATTTTCAATTTGCCCTCTTTCCAGGTTGTAGCTATTCCTGGGGTGCATTCCCTTTGGAACTCAGCTGAAAGCCTACTTTATCTTCCAGGACCATCCCAATTTGGGAGATTGTGGGCTCCCACTTCTGTCTCTTCAGGACTGTCACACTGTCAACGTCTGTTTGACAGCTCTCAATTATAGCGGCAGCTTCTTTCAGTCTTCTACTGGCTGTCTTGGTTTCACACTCCATGTGTGATTGGCTTAGGATCCTCAGGGGCATTACATATCAAATGTCAGGCACATTTACTCTAGTTTCCTCCATTCTGGAATCTTGGCCCCTTAAGTCCCAGAAGCACACAGGTTGACTGTTAGGATTTGGATATGAAGTATTCCCCCCTCTAAAGGTTTGCACTGAATACTTGGTTCCCAGCTGGTGGCAGCATTTTGGGACATTGTAGAAACTGGGAGATGGGACCTAGTGGAAGGAAGGAAGACACTGGGGATGGGTCCTTTGGGCCTGTATCTTACCCTGGCCCCTTCCTGTATTCCCTCTCTCTGCTTTCTGTCTGCCATGAGGTGAAGATGCAACTCTACCACATGCTCCCGCCACCATGATGATCTGCCTAAGTACATGGGGCCAGGCATACATGGACTGAACCCTTTGAAACTGAGAAAAAAAATAAACTTTTCCTCATTAAAGTTGTTCTCTCAGGTATTTTGGTTACAGCAATGCAAAAGTAACCAGTACACCGATGTGGTATGTAATCTGTATCTCCAGCACAGTGAAGTTAACACAAGACCCCATCCCCTATCCTGCAAATCAAAGATGAAGGTGGGTTGACCTTGGTGCATTTATGTTCTGTGTGTGATCATTAGTGCTCATGTCCAGGGTGTCTTGGTTGGTGGAATCTTCAAAGTGTTTTTTGCATTTTATCTAGCCTCTGTAGTTCTTTTAAGCAGAAAGGTTGAATTAGTCTGGCCCCTTGCTTATTCTATTATATCTCTCCTCTTCCTAATTTCATTTTCTCCTTTCTGGATATTTTCCTGGTGTGCTTTGCTTTACACAAGGATAACATATTACTTTATAGTTTGTTTCCCACATACTCTCTTAAAAAGGCCAGCATTCAGAGAAACACATTTGTTACCATAGTAGGCAAACGACAGCATACAGGGCCTCCTAGAACTGTATTCTGAGACATTTTGATTATCCAAACCCATATTTTGAAAGAGTTTTCCAATAAATAAAAGATCATGCCCTTGTCATCCACTCTCTGTTCCTATCAAAAGAAACACTATTACAGAAATTGACTTTCTGGTAAAAAAGATGCTACATGTGATGGACCATGAAGATATGGTAATTTCTGTTAATGCAGAAAAAAGTCACATCTTTCTGCATATTGGTTCCTGTGGGTTTGCTATTGTGCAATCTGCATTTTCTCTGTAGAGATTCCATTCAGTCTCCACATGATGAGAATTGCATAACCCCATTATCCACTTAAATGAAGGGAGCAATGATGTGGCTAGTTCTCAAACAGTAAAACTAAGTCACTGAGATCAGGTTTTAGAGAAAGTTAAACAAATCCTGCTCCCTTGTCACAGACTTGCCATGTAGTGAGCTGTTTTCTTTTTTTAATTGAATATGGGGCCAAAGTAACCAAGCTAGACTGATGTACCGGAGGAACTATGCTTTGTCTATCACGGAATGACTCTCACAGCAGGAAGAGGTAAAACATAGCCATGTCCGCCTGATCTCAGATTCACCTCTATAGCCCAGTTACTTCCAACTCAGTGCAATGCAATTGTAGACAGGCTTTCTGACCCTTTACCTTTCTTTTCAGAGGTCCTAGGCGGGATGTTTTGGCATCTTGTGCTTTGTAGGTGACCCATAGACCACTTGCTACATGCTGGACAAAGCAGACAGAATCTCCATACTTGATTTCCGGAACTCCCATGCCTTCTATATCTCGCTTGTGACTGGAATCCAATTTCTCTTTGATTTCCTATTTCACACAAAAAAGAAAGAAGCATAGGCATACCTGATTAAGTGGGAACTCAATATATAAAAGAAATCACTTGTGCAGAATCTGTATAAGCCAAAAAAGCGATTACCAAAATAATCATGATGTGCCACGATTTTAGAAAGGCTTGCTTCCCTTATCTACTGTTAATTATAAAATCAACAGATTTCAAGTTTTGACCACTTCAGTAATTATTTAAATCCGTGGGGAAAGGAAGTGTGGTAAGGCTCTCTATTCTTCTCTGGTTTTATGTTTTTCTCCATTATATTTTCTATCTTCCTCACCCTAACTTAGATATCTTAAGTAACCCTAAACTTGGTCTTAACTCATTTTCAAAAATTGGTATCTTCCATAATTTTAATGGTTATCTACATAAGTGCCTTAACCCAGGGTTTTAAACATATCTGTTAACATCTGATGGATATATCATAATAACAGTCAACAGGGAAAGGAGCCTCCCTGACTAGGCCTGGAGCACTGCTACTTTAAGATAATACAGTGATCTGCATAATTAGCTTGTATGGACTGTGCTGTGGTTTGGATATTAAATGTCCCCCAAGGCCATGTGTTTAAGCACTGTTTGCCAGTCTATGGTGCTAGTTGAAGGTGCTGAAACACTTAAGAGGTAGGGCCTAGTGGGAGGAAGTCAGGCTACTGGGGGTGTACTCTAGAAGGGGATCCTGGGACTCTGGTCCCTGCTCATTTTGCTTCCTGACTGCCATGAGGTGAGCAGCCTCTTATGCCATATGTTACCTGTCATGAGGTTTCTGCTAAGATAGCTCCAAAGCAATGGAGCCAGCTGACCATGAACTGAAACCTTGGAAACTATGAGCCAAAATAAATCTTTCCCCCTTTGAGTTGATTTTGCTCAGGCATTCTGTCACAGCAAAGGAAAGCTAACATAGGGCAGTCTTAGTAGTGTGATGTGGTCAATTGGTTCATTCTTCAGTGGTCCCTATTTCACTACCTATTCTCCAGTATGGACAAGGGACTTACTGGGCATTAGGTAAGCACTCTGTGACAACCTGAAGTGCCTGTCACAAGAATATGTCATGAATTAGGTGCCTAATGCACAGTAACTTTGCTCTCCTCTTCATCAATCAGGGATCTTGTCTCAATTCCGAATGGCTCTACTCTATTCATATTTCTTTTCTACATCTTGTATTAAATCACTTATTTGTAAAAGCCATTAGCTAGGCAGCATTTTGATTTTTTTTGAAGGATAAAAAATATGACATGCTGCTCCCCAGCTTGTGATAACATCTCTCTCATCCTCAGTGATGGAAATATAGCAGCACATGGATTGAGCCCTGGCCTTGCTCAAGGCAGAGCTCTAAGTTCTTTACATGTACAGGTATCAGTTCTTTATAACAAAGCCTCGGATCTGCCACTAATATTGTCCCCATTCAAGAGTTAAGAAAAATGAAGGAAGTAACTTTCCCAAGGTCACTCAAAGATAATGCCAGGATTTAAGTCAAGAAGTCTACCTCTAGATTCTGTGTCTTACCCATGACACTAACCCTACTTGACCTTCAATATCCTGCTCAAATGTCACCTTCTCTGAAGGGAGAGTTATTACCTCCTGCTGTCTCACTGGCATTCTCTCATTCCTCTATTGAGCAAAGAGCACATCATAATGTAAATGAATTTGTTTATATGACATTTTTATTCTTGAGGTTATGAAAGGAATCAGGGAAATTAATTTTGGACTCTTAATAAGGAGAATTCAGCACCTACCAGCGACATAATGAACATATAGTAGGGTAATAAATATATAGAGTTGAGTAATTTTTATTTCACATGTATTAATTTTATATTTCAGTTATTTCTTTCCCTTCAGACTTTCATAAAAGGAAAATTATTTTATAGACATTCAAAGGACCATTCTGAACAGTATTAATACTTTATAAGAAAAATCTTTTAAAAAATGCTGAAACATTGGCGGGATTGCTTAACATTATTTCTCAAAATGAACACATTGAGAGAAATAGATTTCTGATTTTACAACATAAGCTGATGGAAAAGTGGAATTTGACATATTAGAGCTTCCTTTGTAGGCCATTGGTCAAGAATGCATTTATTATACAGAACATTAGGTACCTAGTTTTTATTTCAGAAAAACCACAGCTCTACAGATAGTGAAACCAGTAAAATAGCTTATAAGATGTCCAAATTTTTATCTGTAGCCTGTTCTCTAATATTGTTGCCAATACAACAAAATCAAATAATACAAATGATCTCTGTTAAATATGAGTAATTACATGCACGTTTGATACATCCTGGCTAAAATGATGCTTATTTCCAAGCTACCAATGAATATGGTTTTCTCACTCTTCAATGATTTAAATATTTCTTTCCTAAAACAATATATGTACTAGGATTCATTTATTAGAGTCACTGAAATAAATGATCCTTATTCTCTATAGAACAGTGAGTCTCTGAGTATCTTTGCCTTTATGAAACAGCAGCATCTTCCTAAGTTCTGTGGCAACAGACACTTCTTGTTTAAAAGAACAACAGTAACAACAAAAACAACAAAAATATGCAAGGCAAGTCGACAAATACTAAAAGCAACTCAACCTCACAGAACAATGATCAATGGGTGAGGAAACGGAAGAGGTTGGCTAGAGAAAGGCTCGTCTTGGTTGATGGCGATTGCTGATTTCTTTCTGATTTGAGCATCAGCTAATGCTCCTATCAGTTTTTTCTTGAATATGGCCCCAGGTGCAGTCACCCTATTGCGAGAAATGGAAACTTTCTAAAGAATAGAGCTAAAACAACCACTTCCTTTCAACAACTTTGAAGTTCTTGTAGAACATAATTCTCATTTCTAAAATTCTTTTATCACATGCTCTAACCAAATTGGACTGTGAACACTGTTTTCTTTCTTTCCCTCAGTGCTTGGGATTGAACCCAGGGCCTTTCCATGCATGGTTAGCACCACCCTACTGATCTACAGCCCCAGTAAAGGCTAATTTGACACAACAAATGTGCCCTTTCTTTGGGACTTTATTGACAACAGTGCTTGAAGTTCCCTCTTCATCTTTACATTGGTATTGTTTATATTTTAATATTTTTGTATATTTTGATTTTTTTGACATCTTTAAATTTTTTTCTGAGTAGAAAGAGACTGCCCTTCCTTGGACAACCCTAATTTTAGACAAAGGGCTCAGAGGATTCCCTGTGATATGAAAACTAAATAACCTAGAATCAGACCCCTCTAACTGGTCTATATGCCTTAGGAAGCAGTATTCCTCCTCTGCCTTCACCATCCCAAAGTCAGTCATAAAGTAACCTATACTCTTGACAGCACAAAGCCCACTGAAATCATTCCAACTAGTGGAACCTAGACTGTTTACCCTGGCTTGCCACAGAAAGTCCAATAAAGATGGCTGCCTAGCCCTCCTGTGCTCTGTTCCTCCATTCCCACTCAGTGTTGGGCTTTTCCATGTGGCTCCGTGTGGCCTGCCATGCCTCCTGCTGCAAAGGCTTGTGAGAATAGAGACTTTGCTTTTCAGAGCAGCTCTGGTGTTGCCTTCCATGACAGCATGTGACTAACCATCATATTAAAGAACAAAAAGCTATATCCCACCCATCCAGACCTTCATTTGTCCCAGTCTTGTGGCTTATGGACCCTGCAGGGACTGCCTTTCCTAGGGCCAGCCAACTCCTAAGAACAGTGAAAGCCTTACCTATAAGCATACCTTTCACCTGCAAGTCAACTAATCCAAGTGAGCAGAAGTCAGCCACTTCCTTGATAGAGGTCAGCCCCTCAGGCTAACCACCAGGACCACATACCAGATGGCTACTCACAACCCTGATGTTCCAGAGTCTGCTGAAGTCACTCCACTCATCTACCTGAACCTGCCTGCTCTGCCATGCCCATTCATTCTCATGGGAACCACACAGGATTCTTTCTTACATTCCCCCTTTCTCCCTCTGCCTCCCGATAGAGCCAGACACTTCCTCAAGTGGGTCCCATGTGACGTGGCTTACACCTCCTCCTTGGACTGTAAGCAACAAACCATCTTTTCAAAGTCAATCCATCTCCTGATATGTTGGCTTCATCATGCCTAAGTAATAATAAAACCTACATTTTAAAATATGTATGAAACCTTTGCTGATACATTGGCTCCCTCTGCTAGATTGAAAACTCTCAAAGGTCAGAATTGGAATTTCTCATTGTATTCTGCACAGTGATTTGCTTGAAATAGGTTGTAAATAATTTATTTGCCCTTGTTTTATTGTTTTATAGGCATTCCATTTGTGTATCTGTTTTTCTGCACCAGCTTGGCTAGGTAATGAACTGATTCTGAAAAGGAATAGATAACTTGGCCTAATGGGTGTTGAAGGACAATAATCATTATCCTCTGTCTCCAGAGACAGCCAATTAAGGAGCTGCTCAGGAGCATGTCATCACTACCATGTTTGCATTTGGCTGAGATGATCAAGTTGCCCCTCTCCATATTGATGTAAGTTTGAAGGACAAAGAGGAAGACCAGGACTAGTATCTGCCCAGTGCCTATCTTGAGCTGGGTATTATGCTAAGATGTTACAATGACAATACTACCACATGAACTTACCAAGGACCTATATGTGACACACAATATCCACAGTGCTGTATAAACATTTCCTCCAAACCTTTCAATGGTCCTACTGTGCTATTACCTTACCTCAAAGATGATAAAACCAAGACTCGCAGAGTTGCAGCAACTTGCTTGCTCAAAGCCACACAGCTAGCAAGTTATGAAGTAGATTCCCAAATTGGGTGTAATTCCAAAGCCCATTTGCCATACAATTATTTGAATTGCTTTGTCATTACCATAGTTAAGTAAATAGCTATATCGATATTTTAGTTGTTTAAAGACTATTAATAATGAAAAAGTTTAAAATGTACTATTGTTTTATGAAAAAAAATCTAGAGAGGACTTGGATAAAAATGAAGGGTTGAAAATTCCATCCAATAGGTTCATGTTCCTCAA